GTAGCCAGAAAGGGCCACGGGTGGGGAGACGATTCCTGGGTTTCTAATCACGTGGGCATGAGCCACTGGGCCTGGGGGCAGGAGACCTCTGGATGGCCAAGCCCTGCTTGAGGGGGGGGGGGGGTGGGGCACAGACCTAAACACAGGCTCCCTCTTGCAGAGCTCGGGCAAGCCCCTGAGGTAGCAGCCTGTTGAAAATGACAGAGTGAGGGTGAGGCGGGCAAGGGAACCACCACAAGTGTCTGCTCCCGCCACCCTGGCACGCTGGCCAATTTGTGCCAAAGTGGAGCAAATGCCAGAAGGTCCCAGTCCCCCTGTGTGGAAGTTTTCAATTCAATTAAGCCAATGAAAGTCCGAAAGATGAAAGAGTACAGAAATGGTACATCCCCTGCCCTTTCGGCGCTATAAACCGTTCTAGGCAGCCAGCCCAGGCCGGAACATCTCTGTCAGGTCTGCAGAAGTGATAGGGCCGGTCACTTCTGTTCTTGGCCGTTTCAGTGGTGGCTGCTGTCCTTCCTCAGACCGACAGAGGCCATTGCCCGGACTTACGGAGAACCCAGGAAAACAAGAGCATATGCCATTAAGTCTCTCCAGCGGCCAGCAGTCAAAGGTTGACCTTGACTTAACGGATGGCTCCTCTCTGCTGCCCTCTGGCCTGTGGCGTTAAGATGAGGGAAGTTAGCACAAATGAGCACAGGCTTCGACTTGAGAAGCCCCCAAAGCTGAGTGGCCTGCTGGGGGTCGTGGGCATCCCCACCCTTCATCCCTGCACGCTCACGCTCTCCCGGACAGTGGCTCCCCCATTCCCAAGGCTCCCAGCTCCTCCTTGGCCAGCCAGGCCCAGGGCTGACACGCAATGGGCTCCCCAGCAACTCAATAACCATGTGTCTCAAAGAGCTGTGACCCTAAGGGCGGAAAAGACATGCTCACAGCTTGTTGCAATGTCAAGCAGAAGACAACAGGCACAGTCAGTTCACACAAACACTCCATCCATGCCTTTGTTCCGGCCCTCCGGTCCAGTTTAAGAACCCATTGTGGAACTCGAGTCAAAAAGTTTGCCCACCCTTGGTCTAGACTCAGTTTGGGTAGATTCTGGGGAACGTTCTATTGGAGTTGCCACTTGAATTCGTTGCTGGTGGAGATGGAACAGAGGGTGTGCAAGGCAGGGCGCGTGCGGATCTCGGAGCTGGCAGTCTGCTCCTTGCTGCAGGGCGAGCAGAACCGTGGGCAGGCAGTGTAGGGCGCGGCTGAGCAGGCTGGAGCTGGAAGGGCCTTTGAGGGAATGAGGCCTTTCGCTTGATGGCGGGTGAGGGGATTAAAACGGGGGGGGGTGTGGCTTTCTGGAGGCCAGGGCAGCTTGGAGGCAGAGAGACTAACCATGCCTGAACCGGGGAAGGTAGTGACCCACAGCTGGCTGGTGACAAGCCACCCAACTGGAAGGAGACTCGTTAGATGGTAGATGGGACATGGGACCTGCTTGGTTGGGGATGAGGGAGAAGGAGCAGGCCACGGGTGCAGGCAGAGTGCCAGGGGACACTGAAACATGGAGGGACACAGGGCCAGCCGAGAGGGGCAAAAATGCTTTGAGCCAGCCCTCACCTCCTCACCCAGTCCCCTTATCATGAGTCACTGTGGGCCCAGTCAGCCCCAGCAAAGACAGCTCACGAGTTAGGAGCAGCTCAAGGACCCGGCGTGGCTCCGTCTGGGCTGCTATTGCTTAATCGAGGGCAGGGCCACCCTGGGGGGGGCAGGGGCAGGGATTTGGAGGGGGAGGACGGAGCTGGCCTTGGATGAACCCTGGAGGGGTGGGGGATAGGGATGCTATGCTGTGGGCTTGCAAGGTACCCTGCTCCAAGGAATAGGCATTTCCGTTAAGCCACTGGGACGAGCCCACCTAACTCTGCATCATTCCCTCTGTCACCCCCGGAGCCCACCAGTGCCATGTGGCAGGAGTCGGTGCTCATCCAACTGGGTGTAGAGGCTGAAAAGATAAAAGGTTCCAAAGAAACAACATCCTTCATCTGCTTCCCTTCTAGAAAGAGCCCCTATGGAGTCCTGAGGCAGCTCCATGGGGGTCACTCAGGCACACAGCTGGCCCCTGCTGCCCTGGCCACATGTGGTGGTTCTCCGAATGCAGACCAGTGGCCTGCCTGCCAAGGGCATCAGGGCCCGGAGTGAATGCCCGCCACTCTCTTCAGCCAGTATGAGCAGGGCTGGCATGGCCCGGGGACGCTGCTCAGGGACAACTGGCTCACGTTTATGCTGGGTGCCCCTGCCACCCAGCCCCGGCCCTCACAGGACCAATTGTTTGGTCCTCTCCCAGTAGCCCTGCCTGCCTAGGACCTGGATGACAGCTGAGCCCAGGAAGCCAACTCACAGGGGGTCTGTGGGCCCAACACTGGCTGGAGCCTGTGTCTGCGTAGGTGAACCAGACCCTGCCCCTCCCTCCAGCAGCCAGCAGGCTAAGCAAGGGGGGGGGGGCAGGAGCTGGCAGAGACAAGGGCATGGGGCAGGACAGAGATGCCAGGTGATGCTGTCTGCAGAGGACCAAGGAGTGCAGGTGGCAGTTAAAAGCTTCCATCGCTGTCTCCAGCGGTTCTTTGGCCCGCCGAGGCCCATGGTCAGAGGCAAGAAACCTGAGTGGCCTCATGGCTCTGCCACCTCAACTCAAATGGCAGAGTAATTCCTGCCGTGCCCCACCCTGGGTGGGTGGGGTGCATTCCTACAGCTCCCCTAAAGGAGCCCAGACTGCCCCATACACCACAAAAGCTTTGCTTCCTTCAAACCCCAGCGCTCTGCTGCACCCAGGCATCCTGAGCCCCAGGCTCAGCCCCACGGCCCCCACCCTCACCCAGAATGACCCACCGAAGCTCCCGCCTTCCTCTCCAGTAGCCCTCTGATAGGTGGTGGCCCATGTCACTCATGGCCCCAAGTGATCTGCAGCCCCGCTTTCCCCACGGACCTGTCCCATTATCTGCCTTCTTCCTGCTGTCAGAACACTCTTCCCTCCAGAAGAATGGCTCACTCCACCAACTTGTTCCGGTCTTTTCTTTTTTACTTAAACATATTCCCATTGATTTCAGAGAGGAAGGGAGAGGGAGAGATAGAAACATCAACGATGAGAGAGAATCATCGATCAGCTGCATGCCCCATACAGGGGATCGAGCCCCCGACCCAGGCATGTGCCCTGACTGGGAATCAAACCGTGACCTCCAGGTTCATGGGTCGACGCTCAGCCACTAGGCCACACCATTTGGGCTGATCTTTTCCTAAATGTGTCCCTTCCCTGACCCCTGCTCCCAACTGAAACTGCGCCCCCATCACTCTGATGCCGGTTTCTCACCAGCGGGACCTGCCATGTACCCATCTCCCAGGCAGATGGAGAGCGTGGAAATGCATTCAGTCCTGTCCACCCCTCTGTCGTCCTGTCCACCCGTCTGTCCCCGGCACAGGCATGTAGTAGGTGCTCAGTAAAGATTTGTCAGATGGCGAACTGAATGGATGGACAATGGGGAGATGTGTGGGTGTGGAAGAGGACGGCACATTTGTGGGTCTGCCACTTGGTCTGCATCTTCCGGCAATGAAGGCTTTTAGAACACGGGCAGCCTTTCCTGAGGCGCCTCTCTGCTTCCCAGACGCCTCGGGCAAGGACTGCCCTAGGTGCACGTGCTTTTTCTTGGCAGGTGGGGCCAGCATCCGGAGGAACTGAGGCCCCACCGTGTTATAAGCCCCTGAGAGCTATGGTGCATTCACTAGGCTCTGAGTGAAGGCGGGGGCTCTCCTGAGAGCAGTAGGCCACCGGGATCTGGGCTACTGTGTTTCCATGGGCGGTTCTAGATCAGCAGTCTGGATTGGTGGCCAAGTTCTGCCTCCAGGAGGATACTTCTGAGCCAGGAGCCTCCTCAGAGGCGAGGCATGAGGCCCAGCTGAGCCACGTTGCCAGGAGGCCTCCGCCGGTGTGAAGGCCAAGGCCATGTGCATGGAGACTACTATAGCCCTAGGAGCTTAGTGCATGGCCTTGGCGGATGCTTCCACTCATGCGCAGGCAGGTCGCAGGCGGGGAAGGAGAGGTAGAGGAAGACCAGCTGGAGAAGCTAGCGGCAGGGATCGGCAGACCAGCAGGCTCAGCAGGCCCCTGTGGTCCAAACCTCCAGACCCTGGACAGGTGTGGGCAGTGGCGGTGGGGTATGGGGACACTGAGAGGGATGACAACTTCACGATGCTCTGCAGAGGAGTGAAGGTGGTGTGGCCAAGGGTCAGCTGGCTGCTCTCAGTGCAGAGGGTGGGGGTGGGGTGGCACTGTGCTGTGGGGCAGGGCAACAGACCTGTGGCTACTTTCTGATTTCTCCTGTGTGCCCTGCCCCCCTCTTCTGCTCCCTTTATCCCCTCCTTTCCGCCCTCCTTTCCTTCCTTCCCCCTCTCCTCTCTCCCTTCCTGCTTTCTCTGGGCCTCCTCTCTTCTTTGCCCCCACTTCCCAGGTACCCACAGGGCAGCAGAGACACCCTGACCTGGCACTCAGCTGGCCTTGTCCATGGCTTGGCCTGCTCCCGGGACCCCTGTACATCATCGAGCCTGAAACCGTGAGCTGTGAGCAGCAGAGGCTGAGCCGGGATTTATAGCATGCGGGCCCCACAGGGCAAGTCTTAATCAGGCAAGAGCTGTAGCGTGATGGATGGGTCGATTTGCTGGAGGAGGGGCACGGCCATGGGAGGACTGTGGCACAGCTAACCCATCCATGCCAGGGCAAGACCCTCACTAATCAGTCCCACCCTCCCGGCTTGGGTGCTCATGGTGGGCAGGAGTAGGGGGTGGCCTGGGAAGGTGAGCCTGGCAGAGTGTGGGGGTCAATGGCCCAGCTTGGGGGAGGGGGGAGAAATATTGTATTTAGCAAGTCATGACTTGAACTGAGTGCAGATTTGTGGAGAATGTTCTAGAAGAGTGAACCTTGGTTCTGCCTCAACTGTGCCCCTGACTTCTTCTCCCCTCCTTCTCCCCAGGTGTCTATACTTGGCCACTTCCCTGCCGCCGCCACTTCCACTACACCCTTCCCCGGGCATTGGGACCTCAGGTGGCCACCTAGCCCGCACTGAGGCTGCACCTGTGAGAAGGCCCTACACCCTCTCCTCCCAGTGCAACAGGCAGGATGGGCGACATGGCCAACAGTTCCATCGAGTTCCACCCCAAGCCCCAGCAGCAGCGGGAGGCCCCCCATGCCGGCGGCTTCGGGTGCACGCTGGCTGAACTGCGCTCCCTCATGGAGCTCCGAGGGGCTGAGGCGCTGCAGAAGGTCCAAGAAGCCTACGGGGACGTCAGCGGGCTGTGCAGGAGGCTGAAGACCTCGCCCACAGAGGGTAAGTCTGCCAGCAGAGCCCCGACACGGACACTTGATCACAGGGGACTTTGGACCATGTGCCACCGATTACTCTAAGGGCCTCCTGAGGATGTCCCCTTCCTAGAGGCACTCTTTATTTAAACTATGTTTTTATTCATTTCACAGAGAGAGGAAGGGAGAGGGAGAGGGAGAGAGAAACATCAATGATGAGAGAGAATCATTGAGCTGATGCCTCCTGCACACCCCCCACTAGGGATCAAGCCTGAAACCCAGGCATGTGCCCTGACCGGCAATCCAACCAATGACCTCTTGGTTAATGGGTCAGCACTCAACCACTGAGCCATGCCAACTGGGCCCTAGAGGCACTCTTGACCCTGACCATGCCTTCCCCGGGTGGCCATTTCCCCCTGAGCAGGAGCTGGTCTGTATGGGGTGAGGTCTGTATGGGCAACCTGCAGTCTTTAAGGAGCTGTGGCCGGACCCCTGCACCCGCACCTTCATAATGAGCTGGTCTCTTCCTCAGAATAATAGAAACCGAGTGACAGAAAAGGGGAAGGGAGGAGAGAGCACCGCGCCAATGCACGCAGGTGGGATGGCCCCTTTCTGTGTGCCGGTATCCCACGTGCTCAACACCTTGTCCAGTTAATCGGGGCTAGACAAGGAGGAAGAGGTGCAGAGTGGGGCTCTCTGAGGGCTTGGGTTGCAGGAGGCCTCTCCCTGGCAAGGGAGGGCATGGCTTGGGGACAGTGGGGCCTGAGGGGGTGGTGCCCAGAGTGCCAAGTAGAGGTAGCACTTGGTGACACCAAAGAGGTGCCAGCCTGAGACACCATAGATCTGAGCAGATCTGCTGCAATGAGCCTCTGGGAGTCTTGGGGGCATCCTCTAGAGCAGCGGTTCTCAACCTGTGGGTTGCGACCCCTTTGGGGGTCGAACGACCCTTTCACAGGGGTCGCCTAAGACCATCAGAAAAAACATATATAATTTCATATTTTTTGTGTGATTAATCACTATGCTTTAATTCTGTTCAATTTGTAACAATGAACATACATCCTGCATATCAGATATTTACATTACAATTCATAACAGTAGCAAAATTATAGTTATGAAGTAGCAATGAAAATAATTTTATGGTTGGGGGTCACCACAACATGAGGAACTGTATTAAAGGGTCGTGGCATTAGGAAGGTTGAGAACCACTGCTCTAGAAGGTTCTAAGAGTGAAGGCCTGACTGCCATTTTGGGTACCCACCTCTGCCCTGAGGTCCTCACCTCCTGATCCCAAGGTGATCCTCTGCCCTGCCCTGTGCCAGCCTCCCCCAGTCCTGCCTTCTGGTTCTGCCTGGAAGCCAGAACCACCAGGAGCCAGGCTGGGTCCCGGGTTCCAAGAGTTGGAGTGTTTACCGACCCAATGGGTACCTCCCTGGCAGGGATGCTGGGGCTGTCCCAGCCAGAGCCAGGCCTGTTCTGGGCCAGCGCTGATAGATCTCACAGCTCTCCTCTCAGCCATCACATCAGCTTCCCAGGGCCCTGGCCATCGTCTGCCTCCTGCTCCCTGGTCCCATGTGTCTGCGGGTGGCGCGTGGGCTGGGACTGGGAAGTAGAGATGGCCCACCGGGGAGGAATCGGGCCGAGGACCAGGCGGGAGGGCGCTCACCTGACCGGGTCAGGAACTCCGAGGTGGGTGGCCTTCCCTGACTTCCTGGGTCTCTCGTGGTTTGCACTGTAAAGAGGCCCAGCCTGACACGGCGTGTCACGGGGGCAGATGGTTTGATTCAGGGCCAGAGGATCTCTCTCCTTCCCTCCTCCTTGCCCTCCCCCATGATCTGGGGCCATTTAGCCACAAGAGCTCTGGCCTCCCCCAGATAAAAGGAAGCAGATGGGCTTCAGCTGGCAGCTCTTTCCTCTGCCTGTCAGGCTTTGTTAAATATTTAAAATGTCAAGGCCCCTGGGAACCTGCCTGATTCTGCCCCAGCAGCTCTGGAGCGCACCCGGTGCCTGTGGAGGGGCAGGAATGGAGAAGGGCAGGTGCCCAGGTGGGTGGCCCAGCCAGGCCTGGTCTGTGTCCCGAAGGATGAGTGGCACGAGGACCACCAACCCCTCTGCTGTTCGTTCCCCGGAGCCCTCAAGGTCTGGGCGCCAGGAATGGGTGACTGGCCCTCCAGCAAGTGTGGGATCCTGGAATACCTGCTGACTTAGTCCCTGAGTTCTCACCCAGACCCCCACTCACTCCTGCTCGGTCCCAGTGGACTGAGCCGGTCGGAGGGGCCAGCTTAGCTGTGCCCCAGGTCCTACACCAAACCCCCACCAAGGTGGGCAGACTGGGGATGCTGGCAGAGTGGTGCTTTGGGGAGGGTGGGGAGCTGGAGGGTGTATTTCGGGAGGGCACTTTTAGCAAGCCAGGAGAATTCCAGAAGCCAAGGAACCTGGGTCTTAGGCCAAGCTCAGTGGTAGGCCTGCTTGGGAGACCTGGGTCCCAGCCCTTCCCCTGTCTGGCCTCTACCAGCAATCATGGGAAGGAGGGGGCGGATTAGCCTGGAGCCACACGATGTGGTCTTAATCCAATTCCAATGGCATCTGGCCTCTGCTCTGGGCAGGCCGCCCATCTGTGTCCATGCCAACCGGCAGCCCCTGTCCCCGAACCCTGGACCTGGGCCGCCCTCAGGGGCCTGCTAGGCCTGGGCGTGCTTGGAACCAGAGGGGCTGCAGCTGCCTTCCCACCCCGTGAGTGCTTCAGCTGTTGGGACCCCTGAGCCCACAGGAAGGTCAAGGCCTCCAGCTGGTCTAGGGCAAGGGCGAGAGAAGCATTGCTGCAGCATCAAGGGCAAACCAAGGCCAAGGGACAGGCTGAGAGGGAAGGAGGGAGGAAGGGAGGGAGGAAGGGAAGGAGGGAGGGAGGGAGCTCCTGGGGATGAGGCCCCCTGAGGGCCCAGCTTCTCAGGGACAAGCTGGGTTTGTGGGGCGAGGCCGGCGGGATGTAGATCCATGTGGCGCCACAGGCGATAAGCTCTGGGTGGGGGGTTGTCCCTCTCACGGGCTCCAGATCCATGTTCTTTCCTCGAGCAGGGGGAGGGGAGACCCTGGGCGTGTGTCAGTTCAAATGCCTCCCTGGCCCTGACCACACCTTTTCTATCTCCTGTGGCTCAAGGACATAGGCCCTGGGCAGGAGTGGGGCACAGGCCCTCGGCTGGGTCCCTGGCCCTTAGGAGCTGAGGTCCTGAGCCTTTCCCAGACACCCAACTGGGAAGCTGCAGACTCCAGAAACTTGAGCCACAGCTGGCCCGGCACGATGAGGCCAGGGGGAGAAGGGCAGGGACAGCTGCGGCTCTGCTGGGTGGGGAGGACAGCATGTGGTCATCGCCTCACTCAGGAGACATGCCAAGCCTGTGCCGGCTGTGGGCTTTCTCCTTATCAGTCCTTCCACCTCCAAGGGGCCCCACACTGCTCATCCCCAGAAGCCTTCTCTCCCTGCCCAGGGCACACCCACCCTCCTCCTCCCCACTCCTTCGGTATCACACTTAGCACTTCCTTGTCCTCAAGTCCCGTGGGGCCTGGTCTTGTTTGTCTTCCCAAGCTGGCTGGGAACACCCCATGGGCTGGGACCTGGCCCTTCTGGGCCGCCCTGTCCCTGACAGAGACGCTGGGAGTGGCAGCGACTCAGGGCTGAGAACTGCAAGTCACCAGCTGTCCACCAGGTGTCAGTGTGGGCCTGGCACTGGGGGAAGAAGCAGCGGTTCTCAACCTGTGGGTCGCGAACAATGAAAACGCATCCTGCATATCAGATATTTACATGACGATTCATAACAGTAGCAACATTACAGTGATGAAGTAGCAACGAAAATAATTTTATGGTTGGGGGTCACCACAACATGAGGAACTGTATTAAAGGGTCGCGGCATTAGGAAGGTTGGGAACCACTGAGAGAGGCTGGGGGACAAGGGCAGGGCTGGGCACTGGAGTGCAGGGGACAGATGAGCCTGGGAGGAAGGAGAATCCTGAGGGCTGAGGGTGGGGCCAGGGGACTGCGTCATCACATCTGCCTGCCTCTGGGGACAATGGCCAAGTGGGTGTCCAGCCTTGGGAGGCAGTGGCCCGGATGCCAGTCCCACATGGAAACTTTGCGTACTTTCAGCCCTTCCACATGCGAGGGGCTCCGTGTTGTTTAGTGGCTACATGCCCACGCTATCCAGGCAGCTGGGCACCCCCACATACATGCCCCCAGGGTTGGCCAGGCCAGTGCAGTTTCCGCTTTCTGGTGCCTTCAGTCTAGAAGGAGAGACAGGCTTACCCAGAAGCAGGGGAAGAAGGTATGGGGCCACGTAGGGCAGGGCTGCCGGCCGCCTTCCCATCATGCTCTGCCCCGCTCTCTGGTGTAGGCCTGGCCGACAACGCCAATGACTTGGAGAAGCGCAGGCAGATCTATGGCCAGAACTTCATCCCTCCCAAGCAGCCCAAGACCTTCCTGCAGCTGGTGTGGGAGGCCCTGCAGGATGTCACCCTCATCATCCTGGAGGTGGCTGCCATCGTGTCTCTGGGCCTCTCGTTCTACGCACCGCCGGGAGAGGAGAGCGAAGGTGAGGCAAAGGCCCAGAGGGGAGAGGCGGGGGGCCTGGCAGGAAGGGGCAGGACCAGGGCAGCAGCATAAGACAAGGGCTGGCAGGGAGGGGGGAGGATGGGACCTGAAATGAGGGGGGAGGTCATAGGCTGTCCCCACTCCAGCGGCAGGAAGGAGCCAGCTGGGGCGACCCTCTGACATCTCTGTACTCTTCTCTGTCGCCTTACATAGCGTGCGGGAACGTGTCAGCTGGGGCAGAAGATGAAGGGGAGGCCGAGGCTGGCTGGATCGAGGGGGCAGCTATCTTGCTGTCTGTCATCTGCGTGGTGCTGGTCACGGCCTTCAACGACTGGAGCAAGGAGAAGCAGTTCCGAGGCCTGCAGAGCCGTATCGAGCAGGAACAGAAGTTCACGGTCATCCGGAACGGGCAGCTCCTCCAGGTCCCCGTGGCCGCGCTGGTGGTGGGGGACATCGCCCAGGTCAAGTATGGTGAGTGTGCCCGTCATGGCTCACTCTGCAAAAAGAAGATCAGCTCTCATTTCGGGGTAGTGTGGGCCGAGGAGACCCCCATCCCCGCCCCCACTGCAAGCCTTCTCCCCAGGAGCACATGGGCCTCAGCTGTGGGAGGCTGGAGGTGGGGATCATGGGCCCGAGGCCCCAGGAAACAGGCTGTCCCCACGGCCTGTCAAAGGCTACCCCAGCACCATAGGATACTTCTGTGGTCCCCACTCTCTGGGACCCAGACCACAGGGCTAGGGGTGGGTGGGTCCCCCAGAAAGGAGGAGGCTGGAGGAAGAGGACCCTGCATCTGAGGGGGTCCTCCCCTGGGCGAGGCAGGAGGCAGCAGGGAGAAAGGCCGCCTGGACCCACAGCCTGTGGTTCTGGCTGCCTGGCCGGCCCTAGGAGACCTGCTGCCTGCCGACGGCGTGCTCATCCAAGGCAATGACCTCAAAATCGACGAGAGCTCCCTGACCGGAGAGTCCGACCACGTGCGCAAGTCAGCCGACAAAGACCCCATGCTGCTGTCAGGTGAGGCCTCAGGGCACCGGCCCAGCCTGGGGGAGCTGGGAGGTGGCTGGCCACCATCCCTTGGACCAGCCCAGCACCCAGGAGCCTTGGAAGCCATTTGGCCCATCAACCCCCACAACCAGCCCCCCTGAGTAGCCCTTCTGGTTAGGGAGGCTGAAGACTTCACCCCCCTCGAGGCCAGAGCAGCCTGTGGGGGGTGTGGTGGTGGTGCTCCGGCCCCAGGGAAGGGAATGGGCCTTTCTAACCCCGGAGGGATGTCCTGAAGGAAGCCCCTAGAGGTGGAGGCTGACTCCGGGGCAGCACAGTGCCGTGCTCCAAGCCAGACCCCCAAGAAGAGCCAGTGAGGACAGGGTTCCCTTTCTAGAAGGTTCTGTCTTAGCCCAGTGTTTATCCCAGTGGCAAATGCAGCCCACAACAGAATGGAGAGGCTGGAGGTGGGTCTTGCAAACGGCTCATTCCGTGCCTCTGGGACAGGAGCTGCTCCAAGCCAGGGAGGAGGTTTTGGTCTAGACTTAGGGCCAACACAGCCTCCAGGGGCCTCCAGACGCTGAGTCCTGATTCTGGGATTCCCGGGACAGAACCTATAGGTGCTGAGCATGCCTCCCACCCGGCGGTGCGAATCTCTGTCTCGGTCTCTCTGTGTTGGCTGTGCCAGGCACTCATGTCATGGAAGGTTCTGGAAGAATGGTGGTGACAGCTGTGGGTGTGAACTCCCAGACAGGCATCATCTTTACCTTGCTTGGAGCTGGCGGAGAGGAGGAGGAGAAGAAGGACAAGAAAGGTAAGGTCATGCAGGCCTCCAGTTCCCAGCGCCCATGAGGGGCTGGCCCCCCTTCTACGCAGCTCGCTCGCTCTTCTTTGCCTGCTGCTGGCGGTCCCCGCTAGCCCATCCCTGGCTCTAGCTCTGGCTCTAGCTCTGGCTCTGGCTCTGGGAGAGACAGCCTTACTCTCTCTTCTGATTTCTTTTGGGGTCCTCTCTTCTGGGGTCTTTGCCCCAGAACCAGCAGGTCAGGAGCCCCCCAATTCTGTGTAAGGGCAGCTTCCTTCAGATGGCTGTTCCCCAAAGGCATGGGGACATGTGTGCCAGGGTGGGGGGGTGCCCTGCTTGGTAGAAACGGGGTCAGAGTGACAGGGTCTTAAGAGAATGCTGCCCACCCTCAGGGGTGCCCAACCACCATAGTAAAGTGCTGAGGGTCCCAGGCCAACATGGAAGCCAGGAAATGCAGGCCATGCAGGCCCAGGGGGAGAGCTCCCAAGCAGAAAGCAACCCGCGCAAAGGATGCCCAGGGCCAGAGGAAGCTAGAATGGGCAGGGGTCCTCCCTGCAAGGGAAAGCAGTGTCAAGGGACAAATGTCTTCTGAGAAGCCAGCTCTGTAGCCACCGCGGCCTCCCTGCTGCCTCCTCTTGCCTCTGCTCTGAGCCCCAGGCATGGCCAGTGTCCCCTCCAGTCCTCAAACAGGGCTCACAGCTGCCCTCAGCATCCACCCCCCTGTCTTGGTCCCGCGGGTCAGCATCCTATTCTCTTCCATGACGCAGGTCTCCACCTGCTCATGACTCTCCGTGCTGACCTGGGTCTCCCGGTCCTGGGGTCAGAGCATGTGGGGCACGGAGTTTTCTAGATGTGCCTCACCCCTGAGGGATCTATCAGGGCCTCTACCGGAAGGAAGCCCCTCCCCATACACGTGGGGAGAACTCTCACTGCTGGTGAGCTGGGCAGGGACGCAGGGGCGCCAGTCACTGGCCTTACTTCAGTCAGTCAAGGCCACTGGGCCTGAAGAGCAGGTGGGATCGGTCTGCCCAACCCCAGCAACATGGGGACAGGTCAGCACAAGGAAGGACGTGCTAGTGTCCCCAGCCCTTGGCCACCCTGCTCCTGGAGGTGGTGAGGGAGGAGATGGATGAACTGCCATTATCTAGAAGCTTCCTTGGGCCCTGCCTCCTGGCATTTTCCAGCTCCTGGCTGGCCAGGCCCTACCCTCACAGCCAACTGGCACCCGTGGACCCTCTTCCATCTTGGCCACACCCAGCCCCCTCTCCCTGCAGAGCTCGGCCCCGTGTCCCTCCATAGTGAGCTTCTCTCCAGGGAAGCCCAGCTGGCTTTGCCTGATGGCCCTTCATCAACACCCTGGTTGCCAGTTAGTAGGGCACCCTTCCCACACTCCTTCCTAGGCCCCTTCCCGTTTGACCTTGACAAAACCCCTCCAACAACCCCCCAGATTCCCCCCTTGCCCTTCTCCAGCACCCCAGGCTGGGCTACTTAGGAGTAAGAGGGGCCACCTCCACCAGCCAGCTTCCTGAAGGAGGGGGACTCTGAGGGGGGCCTGGCGGGGGAACAGAGCTGGCCAGGCTCAGGGGAGGGGGCAGCAGCACCCAAGAGCCCTCACTGATGTCTCAGCCCAAGGACCACTGTGGAGACAGGGAGGTGGCCACGCCCAGCGCCTCCCCCTGGCCCTTGCTGCATCCTGACCAGTCTGCCCACCGCTCCCTGTCCACCTGCTGCCTCCCCACCTGTTTCTTACCTGTTGGCTTTCATTCCTAACCACCCTTCTCCTTGGGTGTCCTCCTTCCCCTCGTCCTCCCCTCCTTCGGCTCCTGTCCCTCTTAAGCTGAGCACAGTCTTCCTCTTCCTGTAGCCCTCACCCCAAACCTCCTTCCCTCCTCCATGGGCCTCCCCGGGCCCTGCCTGCAGCCTAGGACCTCTGGGGTCCTTCGCCCCAGGGCTTCCAGCAACACCCCCTCATTGTGCTGCATTGTCACCGCGTGTCTACAGGTGTCTCCCCTCCACTCAGAAGTCTCCTTCACCTATGAACCCCCTGCACCCCCTCAGGGGTCCCAGGCAGAGAGGATCCAACCCACACTCCATCCTGCCCCGCAAGGGGTCTCTCCCTCCTCCCTGGGGCCCCCAGACCAGACCCTACTGACTGGGAGTCACCTGGCACGCTGTGTCCATGGATCCCCAGCCCATGAACAAGTCAGCCCATAAGTCCCTCCCACCCCAGGTTGGTCACCTCTGGATCCTGCCACCTCACGTGTGGCCTCCAGGGGGCGCTGTGGTACAGAGCCAGACCCCAAGACAGGGCCAGGCTCCCTGGCCTGTCAGACCTCCTGTGCCCCCGTCCAGAGTCGCAGCCCTTGGAAACCAGAGGAACAACCAGTGCTGGTTACCTTGACCTTGGGAATCTGTCACTACACAGGCTCTGGCACCCAGGCTCAGGCTTTGTGGTCACAGAGCACCTTCAGGGAGCTCCTGCATTCGTGTCACAGTAGATGGCTGCAGGGGCTACGGAGGAGGCAGGCTGGGTCCTTGCCTTCAGGTGCACCCACCACCTGAGCCCCTCACCTGGGGTCCAGCCCATTCCATGCCCCAGCTGCTCCCTCCAGCAATATGTAAGTGCCCAGCTCCCAGACTGGCACCCCAACCCCAGAAAATTCCTAGGGTTTCCTTTGTCCCTCAAAAGTACACATAGCCCGGCCAGTGTGGCTCAGTGGTTGAGCATCGACCTATGAACCAGAAGGTCACGAATTGATTCCCAGTCAGGGCACATGCCCAGTTTGCGGGCTTGATCCCAGTGTGGGGCGTGCAGGAGGCAGCCAATCAATGATTCTCTCTCCTCATTGATGTTTATA